ATGGGAGACAAAATCCAACCCATAGCATCCTACCCTTGTCATGTTCTTTCCATGTGGAAAAGATATTCATACGTCCCAACATCATAATCATTCTAAAATTCTAAGTTCAAAATCCCACCTAAATATCCAAAGTGCCAAAACTCATCATCTAAATCATCCTTATTAGTTCTAAGTGAGATTGGGAGAATGTTTCATCTGGTAGCAAAATTATTTATAAGTCTGCCTCCAAAATACAATGTTGGGATCTGATATTTTACCAGTCCTTAAGTGAGAGAGTGAAAGGAATAAAGGATTCATGGGTCTCTGTTATGTTTGAAACCTAGGAGGGAAGATTCCCTTAGGTGTGTGGCTAGATACTCTGTTCTCTGGGCTCACCTTCCAATCCTTCCAGGGTGGTGGCCCTATCCTCTGAATTGAAAGAGGGGGGCACCAGCTTGAGATTGTAACACCAGGCTGTCCAGCTTCTGTACCAAGCAATCTTTCTTTCTTCCCTTCCTTTCCCTCCTTCCTCATCCCTCTTCTTCCTTTCCCTTCTCTACTCTTCCCCAGCCCTTCCTCCCTCCCTTTCCTTTTCCCATTCATTCTCCTTTGCCTACACTTTCCTTATCCCCTCCCCACTCTTCCTCTCTCTTCCTCCTCATTTATCTTTTTCTTAAAACACTTCTGCAGCCAACTAGTGCTGTGTACTGGCTCACTTCCTAGAGTCCTGGAAGCCCAACAGCCCTACCTTTAGTCCACCCATCTTTGTCCTCCACAGTCCAAGCTAACAGTGCATCTGTTCAGGTGGTTGAACACCACAATCTTGGTTTTCTCTCCATAGACATTTTTGTCTCTTTTTATTTTTATTTTTTGATGTAAGTATGGTGAGGCTGAGAATTTTTCAAATGTTCAAGGTTTCTTGTTGCTTAACAATTCTTTCTTCATTTTATCTCTCTTCTCTCACATGTTAGTATGCACAGCAAGGAGAAAACAAACGACCTTTAATACTTTGCTATATCCTCAGGTCAGTGTCTGAGTTCATTGCTTACAACACAATGGAACACATTTCAGCTAATCTTCCCTCCATATTTCCAATAGTTCATCCCTCATTTCCATCTTAAACACTGGAAGTATCTTGTATTTTTCATATTTCTAGTACCATTCTGTTTAGGACAGTATATTGCTTTTCAACAGTGATTGGAGCTTTCTTTACAGCTCTCCTCTTTTCCATGATTGGAGCTTTCTTTACAGCTCTCCTCTTTTCCATTTGGATCCCTTCCTCATCACAATTGCCTATTTCCACCAATAATCTCTTCAAAGCAATCTATACTTTTTCTAGTATATATCTCAAAACTCTTCTAATCACATCTATTATTCAATTCCAAAGCCACACCTTCATTTCCAGGCATCTGCAGCGGTGTCCCTTTTCTATTAGCAACATATGCATTAACTTCCTATACATACTGCAACAAATCGTCAAGTGAGAGACACAGGCAATATACCTTTCTTGTTTCACCTGCTGTGGGCTAAAAGTCTGAGAGCAACCTGATGTCTGAAGGTGATGAGATAGCATCAGTTCCTCACCTGTGACCTCTCCTTTTTGGCTCTCTGGAATTCCTTGGCTTAATCAGATATCACCTTGATTTCTGCCTTTATCATGACATGGCATTCTTGCTGTCCTTTCCTAGAGCAAGCAGGTCACTACATTTACATGCTTTTTTCTAAGGATACCCATCATATTGGATCAGGATCCACCTTAATGATCTTATTTAAATTATGTGTTCTCTGTAAAGATTCTGTCGCTAAGCCAGGTTACATTTGAAGGTACGAGGGTTCCTCTCAGTAATACATTCTAAGCAAGTCCTAGAAGTTGTCAAGAGCTTCAAACATAGGTTAGTTTTTTTTATGTTGTTAAATAAAACACAGTCTTAGGCTGGTGTTTATTAACTGTTTAGTTGATTAGCATTTATTGGGTTGCTAGGATGTGCCGGGCGTAATTTGTTTTAGCATCATCTGAATAAGAAACAATTTGCACATGTACGTTCCATACCCTTAAGTTCAAAGCTAACACTTTCCCCTAATAGGAATTTAGTAAACAGAACACAGCAGTATTAAGTAGGACCTGAAACTTTATTACATAAACTATTGACAAATAATAAAAATTGGTGGTCACCAATCTTTTATATGTGTCATATGACAGAAACTTCAGAATAAGTTTTATGAACTTCATTACTTTGATATTATAAGTGATTACAATTTCCTCCTTTGGAGTCTTAAATCCTCCCAATGGGGGACAATGGGTTCATGGGCGCACCTATTACTGCATAAAAAATTCACAAGAATTTACCTAAGTGTATATAATTCCATTTTTAAAAGTACTTTAAAAAGAATTTGGCTAGCTCACTCCTAAAACCTAACCACTTACGAGGCTGAGATCTGAGGATCACAGTTCAAAGACAGGAAAGTCCATGAGACTCTTATCTCCAATTAACCAGAAAAAAGAAAAGCCGAAAGTGGAGCTATGGGTCAAGGGATAGAGTGCTATTCTATTCTTGCTGTTCAAGTAAAAAAGTGCAAAAAAAAAAAAAAAAACCTTAGGAACAGTGCCTGGGCCCTGAGTTCTAGCCCCAGGACTGCCACACAAAAGAAAAAGAAGACAAAGAATTTGCACAATTTCAATATTGTTTGGTTAAGCCTGCACATTTTATTTTGCTCATTGAAGTTTTATCCTGCAAAGGGTCTAAAGATCCACTGGATTCCTAGTAGGTTCACATTAAAAAAAAAAGATACAAGAATAGCATTTTGGCTGCTGGAGATAAAGTGAAATGGAAATGCACTCTCTGCTTTTAGGGAATTTACAGTGAGGATGAAGAAGGAGGAAGGGGACAGGTAATACAAAAAGAAACCATGAGCAGAATTTTAGCAATAGTAAGAGCTCAATGCGGGAGAAGCAGATGCCAAAGAGGAGCCAGACGTAGGGCAGACCTGGTCAAGGATCCTTGCAGAGAGACCAGGCACTGGGAGATGGAGGTAGGGAAGCCTGGTTATTATCCCTGAGTAACCAGATGGCTGGTACAGCTGGAGTTAAATAAGGAGAACATTCCTGTTGTGTTCAATGAGAAAAGTTAGAGAAACAAGAGAAACCATTTCCCGAAGAACATGTAAGCAAGAGTAATAACTTTCAATTTTATGAAGTATATTGGCACATCCATTGGAGAGTTTCAAAAATTTATATTAAAATATAGATCCTTAACCACTTATGTATAGTTCTGGGGTATTAAGTACATTCTCATTATGTACTGCCATCACTACCATCTGTCCACAAAACAACTTCTGTAATGAAAACCCTGTGCTGATCATATGCCCTCTCCTGATATTTTCCAGTTCCCCAGCATCAAAGATGTCTATGCAGAGGAGTCCATGACACATGTATCACATTAAAAAAAACACTGGACTTCATTTATTAAAATGTGGAGAAAATGAAGCCAGGGAAAAACAGAGACACTACAGGAAACCAGTTAGCAAACACTGTTGATGAGAGCATTTGGAAGGTATAGTGTGAGGTTGACAATGGGATCAGGCAGTTTATCAGACACAGATGGCATAGCACAGGTATGAGGGAGGGAATGTTAAGTCTGAATCACCTCTTTGACATCCAGTAGAGATATCAAACAGTTGTGTGCAGAGTTCAGAGTTCAGGGAAAAGGCCAGTGTGGATATTTGACAGTTATGACAGATTTAAAGTCATAGGAATGGATGAGACCATCAAAGGAGTTAATGAAGATGAACTCTGGGAGCACTCAATCACCAGGAACCTTCCTCTTTCAGAAGTTAAGCTGAGAGGAAGAAGTTGCTGTGCATGCTTTAGCCAGTGCTACTTAGGGACCTTGTGGTGTAGGAATGTAGATCTGGGCTAGGAAAAAGAAGCAAAGTTACAGAGTATAAATACTATTGTAACGTGTTAGCCAGGTCATACTGGGTCTGGTTAAGAGAGAGTAGCAGTCTCCCCTGCTTTGAAAGCAGTCAGTACACATTATTAAACTTAATATAATACTCATTTAAGGAAAGTAGTAAATACTTCGTTTTAGAAAGACTTTGAGTTTCTTGTGTTCCCACATGTTAACCAAACTTCATTTTTTTAGCCATAAGATACAATTATATTTACATTATATCTCAATCACTAGTTGATGGATTGATCATTTAAACTTTAAGAAATGGTCTAAAATCAAGCTCAACAATTACATAGTTTTTGACTAGGCATGGTGCCACATGTCTGTAATCCCAGCACTCTGAGATTGAGGCAGGAAGAGCATGATTTCAGGCTAGCCTGGGTTGTTTAGTGAGATGCTACCTGAAAAAAAACTGAAAAAAAATAGAAAAACATTTAAAAATGATGTATCTGTTATACTTTTAGGTTCAAGTAAAAGTTTTCCAAATTTTTTAAGTGATCTTAACATTTTTTGCTTTAGGTGATTTGAGTGTTCAAGAGTTTTATTGTCTTTTAGTATGTTTTGTGAAATATATAGGATACTCTACAGCTTAAGAAAATTGTGCCTCTTCCTCATCCTCCTTCTCCTCCTCTCCTTCCTCCTCCTCTCTCCTCCTTTTCCTCCTCCTCTTCCTCTTCCTCCTCCTCCTTCTCCTCTTCTTCCTCCTTCACTTCTTCCTCTTCTATCTTATTGTTTCTCACCAGCATCCTATGCCTTCAGTAGTACTCTAGATAATGAGTGATGGAAATATTGAATGTGACTTGTCTTAGATTTCAGTGCTTTTAGCAGTTTTATAAGTTTCTAATTATTTGGATTATCTGGAAATCTTTGATTCCTTCATTGAAGAAAATAAATTGGAGAAAAAAGTAATTTTTGCACGTGCTTCTCCGAAATACTCAAATTTGGGAAATAGGAAAGGGGAAGCATCTAGAGATGAATAGAATAAGAATTTGCAGCATTAGCAAATGACACCGGAACTGTGAATGTGTGGTGCATTCTTGCTGTGGCTTATTTTTTTTTCTCCTCTGCTAGGAGACCCATTCTGATGATGTGTGTAATCCTCACCACACTCCCGAGCTTCAGCTTCTCTATAGCTGTGACGGAGGTATGGAGCTCTCCTTTCTTCTGCAAGATTTGGAGGTCTTAGAAGCGTGCTTGTTGGAATTTGTGGGAGGAACACACCCCCAATGCCCATGTTCAACTTTACTTCATCCCTTCTTCTTCCAAACTGTGAGAGAGGTGGTTGAAAGTATGAAGACCATGGTTATGTCTGTGATTGTACAGCATTCAGTTACACAAAGAATTACTTTCTTTTGGCTTTGTGTGTAAGAGGCAGGGACGCAATTTGGAAATAATTTTTTTTTAAAGTAAGGAATTTGAAAACTGATCTATGCTGCTTATTTTTTCTTAGTAATTTGATGCTTTCCATGATTTTTTTTCTTGTTTCTAAATGGAATATAACAATGCTCAAAGGAACAACCTCTTCCACACTAAGATTTTTGACAAGTGCTGTAGACATGGTGTTTACTTGGAAATAACCTAATGAAATATGGTTTCAATGGGACTCCACTCTAATACATTGAACTTTTAGGCTGTGGGAACTTGATTATCTGTGACAGTCAAAAAAGAATGCTATTTTTTTTTTTTACACATAGTCTTGGTATGTAGTTCCAGTTGGCCTAGAACTTGCTATGTAGCAAGCCTGACCTCAAACTCATAGCCTTCTCTCTTCTGCCTCCTAAGTGGTAGGCTCTGATTTTTTGGTAAAATGTTGGGAAATAGGAAGGCAAGTATCTTGGGAGGTTTCCAAACACTTCAGAAAGTCTGTTTGCCATCTCTCAATGTTTAGCATTTTGAAATGAGACCATATCTAAAGTTTTAACTTTTTGTTGTTGTTATTTTCTATGATTAGTCACCCATTACAGATTTTTCTTCCTTCTTTTCCTTAAATTGCCATTGAAATGAGACATACAAACAAAAGAATATAAAAGTATAAATATATAATATCAATGGAATATCACCAAGCAAGTTCCTGGACAAACATGACTGAGGTCAAGAAATACACCTTCGCTAGCTCCACGCACGCTTCTTATAGTAACTCCTACTCTCTTCCCCAAAGATAGTTTCTACTACTTCTCAATAGTTTGCCTGTTCTTGAATTTTGTGAAAGGGCAGATAAACTTTTAGATTTTATTTATCTGCGAAATGGTTTATAGCTGGCTTACTTAAAAAGCTAGCATGAGGATCATTCATGCTTTAATATGTAGTTGCAACCCATCCATTTTCATGGCTGTAGAGTATTTGAGTTTTTGAAGATATTACAATTCTTTTATGCATTTCTAAATTGCTGGGGATCAAATTCAGAGCTTCCTTCATGAAAAGCACGTGCTCTATCTTTAAGCTGGTATCACATGCTCTACCCTACTTGATGTCACAATTTATCTGTTCTTTCTTTTTTTTGGGTAGTCATAGGTTTCAAACTCAGGGCCTGACACTTGATAAGTAGGCACCCTGATACTTGGAAGCCATATACCCAGTCCCTTTTTTCTAGTGCCAGAACTAAAGCTTGAACTCAAACTCTTGCACTCTCATTTGTTTTTTTTTTTTTTCACTCATAGCTGGTGCTTTACTGCTTGAGCCTTGTCCCCAGTTCTGACCGTTTTTAGGTTTTATTTATTTATTTTAATGTATTTATTGCTATTGTAAAGTTGATATACAAAGGGGTTATGCCTATATAACTCAGATAAAGAAGACACTTCCTTTTGAATGATGAATTTTGACTTTTTGCTGGTTAATTGGGGATGAGAATCTCTCAGGTTTGTCTAACTAGGCTGTTTCTGAATTGTGATCCTCAGAGCTCAACTTCCTGAGTAACTAGGATTATAGCCATGAGACACCAGCACTTTGCTAATTCCATTCTTGATGTCCATTTTTGGCTGTTACAAATAACATTACTGGAAGCAGGATTGAACTGTCTTGTGTGCACATGTAAACATATTTCAGTTGGTTAAATACCTACACATAAAATCTGGAGACTATGCTATTTTCTGTTCTCCTTTAAATTCGTTCTCTATCCGGAACTGATTCTATTTGTCTGGTTATATTTGTCTGAGGTTTTACCTTTGCTGTGAGTTGGGTGTGCTTATCTGTAATTTGTATCTAGGCTTTCTGCTCTGTCTCGTTACCCAGTTTCACCTCCTTGTGCTAACCAGATGCTTCCCTATCTTGGTAATCATTGGGTTGTAACCAAATAGTCTTACTTCCTTCTAGCAGTTCTTGTCCTTTGTATTTCCATATAAATTTTAGAATCTGCCATAGAAGTATTGATTAAGGATGCATTGAATGATATCATATTTACAGAATCTTATTTTCTAATTATGTCATTGGTATTTTACAATAATTCATCTACTGGGGGGATTCTCTCCATAAACGATCATGTAGTCTACACATAATATTTCAATGTTCTTTCTTTCTCCCTTACAATGTTGCATAGACAAAAATTGGTGTCTTTGTCTTGTTCAGACTTCAGATGGATGCCTTCCAATATTTCACCATTAATGTGATGAACGCTGTATGGAAGTTCATCTACTTAGGTGAATCCTTATTACATCCTTACAAAAGACTCAGTATTGTGAAGTTGAGAACCAAAAAGCTACAAACCAAACTTTGATGTCTTTAATAAATGCACCTATAATTACATTAGAATTCTATGCAGATCATTAAGAGAAATTTTGAATGAACAAAGTATAATAATTTAATGAGTTTAAATGGTTCTCTACAAACAGGTTCAAAAGAATGTCAATGGCTCCACTGTGGACCTGCTGCCGGATTCCTTACCTGACCTGCCAGTTTCTCTGGTTATCTTATCCTTGATCCTTGTTGACATTATTGAAAAACTGAGGCTCTACCCTCTTAGAGGGAGCCAAAAGTGTAAGTATTCTTTTAAATATATTTTTAAAAGTTGCACATACCTTTCTACCTCTCTGTTGCCTGTTACCTGATGACAGATTTCCTGATACCTTTTCTTAGGGTGAACATTGCTGATGGATCAAACATGAAGCTGTGCAGATATAACTGTTTCAAGTGTACTCTCATAACTATTCTTAATTACCTTTTGGTAGTACTGATAAATTAAGAAAGCTAACAAATACTGCCAGTAAATTCATTGCTTACCAAGTTATTTATCAGGTTGTTATTTTGGAAACCTACAAAGCTGTTTGGGGCGCTGCTATTGAAGCTGCTATTGAAGGGGAGAGAAGGTCTTTTGAGTGGAAGGAGGTTGAATTGGTTTCTCTAGAGGCCCACCCCCTCAACCAGATCAACACGATTCTTGTTTAGTTAGCAGTTCTTTTATGTAAGATTTCATCTGGAGCAAAGAAGGTTCTATTTTGAAAACCATCAATCTAGGACTTCATTTAGAGCTATAGACTGTACCTGGTTCTAGGACACTGTTAATGTTATCATCTCAGGCCCGGCTCCCTGGGAATGTGATGGCGCCCCCTAGAGCAAGAGCCAGCCTCTGTCTGGTCCCTGGTGCTCTGGGCTAATTCAGTTTTTAATTGTGCTGATGGGGTTCCAAGAAGTTCAAGGCACAACACGGATGAAAAACACAACCTTTTCAAAATTCTGTCTTTTAAAACATTATTTTTTGGCAGTGCTTAGGTTTAAACTCAGGATCTCACACTTAAGTGCTCTGTCGCTTGAGCCAAGCCCCAGCTCTTTTTTTTGCTTTAATTTTCAGATAGGCTCTCATGATTTTTGCCTTGGATAGTCTCAGAAAATGGGATCCTCTTACTTTGTCTTCCAGTGGACTGGGATTACACATATGTATCAACTTTTTTTTAGTTGGTCATGGAGCTTGAACTCAGGGTCTGGGTGCTGTCCCCGAGCTTTTGTACTCAAGGCAACTGCACTTTGAGGCACAGTTCCACTTTCAGTTTTGGGATGGGTAATTGGAGATAAGAGCCTCACACTTTCCTGCCCAGCCTGGATTTGAAGCAGGATCCTCAAATCTCAGCTTCCTGAGTTACTAAGAGTACAGTTGTGAGCCACCAGCACTATTTATTTTGTGTGATAGGGACCAGGACCAACACACAAAAAAATCCTTTTTGTCTGGACTAGGTTCGAACTGCAGTGTTGCCAATCTGCACCTCCCAGATTAGCTAGGATTACAAGAATGCACTACCATGCATATCCCTCAATTCTACGTTTGAATTATTTTATTTCTGATGTTTTATTTTTCTAAAACAACACCGATACATTTTTTAAAAACCTTATAAAATTACAGATAAAAAAGAAAGGGAGATCAACTGTAATCTTTCAAATGAGAGAATTTACAAGTGACACCATCTTGTATATTATTTAGTCAATAAAACTGATTTTTAAGCCAGGCACCAGTGGCTCACATTTGTAATCTTAGTTACTCAGGAAATAGATCTGAGAGGTTCGTGGTTCAAAGCCAGTCAGGATAGGAAAGTCTGTGAGAATCTTATCTCCAATTAACCACCCAAAAAGCCAGCCTTGAGGGGGAAAAAAGGCTCAAGAACAGGGTGTTGGCCCTTCCAGGACCAACACACATACACACACACACACACACATACACACAAATAAATGAAAGCAAACTGGTTTTCAGGCTTTTTCTTAACCATATAGGATGGGAATCATTCTTGTTATCATACCATTTATGTTATTTTTATTGGTTGACTAGTATTTCATTATATCAATGAATCACATGATTTATTTGATTGAAATTTTGTTGTTGACCAACTTCATTTGTTCTGCTGTTAGAAAAGCCAAGGATGTGGTTGGAATAGGGGAGGCTCTGGGAGGGGAGAGAAGCCCTGAGTGGAGCATGCATGTTTTATGTGTGGGTGGACGTTATTTAAAGAGACCCTGTGTTGTTTTGGGGAAGCTAGAAACAACTCTGTGAAGCGATGGGTCAGACCATAGCTGGGGATGGAGAGAGTTAAGTGGTGCTGGATGAGAGCCGAATGATACCAGGATGGTGACTGCACGGTGTCCTCAGAAGACCCAGGGCATCTGCTGGTGCCAGACTTCTTAGCAACTGTGCTGCCAGAAGAAAGTAACTATTATGGGCTAGCTGCTCATGCAGAGAGATATAGAAGAGGGTCACCAGGGGATGGTAGAGATACTGCAAGATGGTAAGAGTAGGTTGACCGCCGGAGAGTTATGTGCAGTCAGAGCCCACTCTCGGGGATGAGGTCAACAGGCTATTTGAGTGGAACACCTCAGCGCTCCACACAGGAGGTGGTTTCTTCTGTCGCTTCAGTGAGTGTGCCAGGTGTAGGGCTGGCAGGGTGAGGCTTTCAACTAAATCTGCTCACCAGGGCCCTGGGCCAGTTCCTTCTGTGCAGTCTCTTTAATACCCAGACATGTGGGCCAAGCGCAGAGGGATCTCAGCAGTGTAGACCATTAGTTCCTCAGGCAGCATTGCTGACTTAGGGTCTGCAGAAGATGTTACGGTTTCTGATAGGTATATTCACATGGCTTTCTCCAAAGAATGTTCCCATTTCTCCTCCCAACACGAATGTAAGATAGGACCCACTTTTCTTCCACCTTGTGATTTATTCCATTTTATCTTTATCAATTTCATAGTCAAAGACAGTATCTTACTACTTTCCCAATATGCTTTTTTTTAAAAAGTAGTAGTTGCTTTAAATTTTTTCATAAATTTACCGGTGCTTTGTGCTTTTTGATTTTTTAAGTTTTGGAGTCAGGTCTCACTATGTCACATAGGCTGGCTTCAGGCTTGGGAACTGGATCATAGGCAGGTACCACCATGCCCGGCTTCCAGTATGTATTTCTTACAAAAATCAAATATTGTTTTTGATCCATTTTTCTATTGGTATATTTCTTCCCCTGCCTTAAAAAAAAACTAGGGCTTCATTAGCTTTATATACATTAACGACTCTGGGTTTTGCTATGTCATAGATAGAGTATATGCTGTGGAGTTTATCAATTGCCTTCCAATTTTACTGTGGATTTGATATGGAGAATTTCTAATTTTGACATCATCCTGTGCACTTGTCCCTTACCCATTCTCTTTTTTATTACTGTAAGTGAAAATTATTATTTATTCTCTCAAGAAAGTTTAATGAAGAAAAGTTTAATTCCCTATAGCACACAAATTGTTTAACTTATGAATATCCAATAAATTAAATATGATAGTCACCACACTAATTTACTTGAGCTGGCCAAATTTGTTGACTTTTGTCTCCATAGGATTTCTGTTCACTTTTTCTTGGAGTTATAATATATAGAAATCACTTACTAGATGGGGCTGGGAAGGTGGCTCAGTGGTAGAGCGCTTGCCTTGCATGCCTGAGGTCCTGCTATGGATTCCTCAGCACCACCTAAGCAAAAAGAAAAAAGCCGGAAGTGGCGCTGTGGCTCAAGTGGTAGAGTGCTAGCCTTGAGCTGAAGAGCTGAGAGATAGCGCCTAGGCCCAGAGTTCAGGCCCCACGACCAGACCCCCCCCCCCCCCCGCCAAAAAAAACCTGAAAAAAATCACTTACTAGAGTACTTTAAATCTATAAGTGTACCATCACCCAAATGAACTGAAGTAGCATTTCTGGGATGGGACTTAGATATGTGTAGATTATTTTAAAAAAGAAGATCTTGGTAAATGATTGTAATTTTATATCTGAAATGAAGAGCAATGGCTCCCACTCATTTTTTTGTTTGTTTGTTTGTTTTTGATCATGGGGCTTGAACTCTGGGCGTGGGCGCTGTCCCTCAGTTTTTCAGCTCAAGGCCAGCGCTCTACCACTTGAGCCACAGCACCACTTGCTCCCACTCCTGACTATACCTTTGTATCAACTAAGTTGTTTTTATAGTTTTTAAACATCTAGGTGGAACCCCCAGATCATCAAATCATGTTTGAAGAATGGGACTCAGGCACTGGTAACTTCAGGAGTGGGGAGAAAAGAAACGAGCAGTTGATACCCAATAATGCTCTGGTTTCATTGATAAATAGGAAGCACATATTTTGCTGGTTAGAGTGGAGAAGTTGGAAGAGAAGCGTGAAGAGGGTGGGGGAGGAATTGTGAGGACTGGGTATGACATGGGCTAGAGGCAGAGTGGTAGGCTTATGAGCAATGTTGAGGGTACAGCAAAGAGTAGAGCCAGGGATTGAGTGAATCCAAAAATCCTTGGTATTCTCCAGTGATCTGGAGACATCAGAGCATGGATGGCAGGAAAAGCAAAACTGTAGATGGATGCAAATTTAGAACCATGCAGCAGTTGAAAGGAGAACAGAGGGGGAGGGACTCTTTTTTTTTTCTCCAGAATAAAATGGATGGCATTTTGAGTTCCTCTTTGTTTCTTTTTAAGAAATAGCTTATTGTACAATACGAGCCCAGGGTGAATTGGGTTTCCATAATGTGTTGTTTTGCAATGTGCTCCAGGACAAATATGAGGAACACTGTGTTCACCACCAGGCCCAGAAGGGAGATTATTTCCTTCCTTTCCCTCCCTTTGCTATGTAGAAGAAGGAAGTTTTGGGACTTAAACTTAGGGGACTTGAACCCCCTTGATCCACAGCTTCACTTCTGGCTTTTTGGTGCAGCTTTTTGGTGATTAATTGCAGAGAAGAGTCTTGTGGACTTTATTGCTCAGGCTGGTTTCAAACTGCTATCCTCACCTATCAGCCTCCTGAATAGTTCATAGTTTTTAATAAAATACCAGTTGTCAGATGAGATGGGCTGTGTGCATTGGCCCAAGAACTACCCAGAGGTAGTTCTATGCCAGTGGACAAAGAGCAGAAGATGCTACCAAATATAAAAGTCTTCAGTTATGGCTCCACTTGATCTGGACAGCGATTTTCACCCCGTGTTATCAGATTATTCCTTTTCTCCTAAGCAGGCAAGAAAAAAAAATGTGAATAGCTGAGCATGTGAAATGAGACAGGA